TTTTTAATTTTAAACGTATCAGAAGATAAGTAATAATGATAAGGAGAGACAAAAGTAAGAGTAAACTGTTTGAAGACATTTCACGTCATATCACGTTTTACAAAACCTTATCACTGCCTACCAACTTCATCTGATCTACTGAACGCGATTGGGATTTTAACAAATCCTCCAAAGATCAACCTTTCGGCTGATATGAAAGTGCTGAAATGATGTGTGCCGACATTTTGTGCTAATTTTGAGCACTTTCGGCATGTTTATGCAAAATGATGAAAGAATGAATGCATGCATCGGAGTAATGAGACAATTAATAATATCATTTCTTGCATATACAATATTCATTTAACAGTAATGTGTTCTGCAAAGTCCTTGTTGATAGCATGCAAATACTGATAAGCGGTTTTGCTTGCTATATCAAAGATATCAATCGAGTTTTCATATTTCACGCAGGCATGGCTGATTTTATGCTTGTACAATTGATAAGTATTAAATATGATTCATTAATAGGCATAATTTTGCAGTAATTGACCAATAATGTTTCATAATAATTAATTTGTACTAATTACTTCTGCTTCAGTGCCTCAACTATTGATCTCGAGTAGTTGAGATGATGCTGGAAGTGAATTGTTTAGTGAAGCGGTTCTTTGTCAGGCCTAACTACTCCGTGTGAAAGGAATGGAAATGTATTATTTGGTATCTCCAATTATAGTGCTGTTGTTCTGCGCTTTATTCTCAAGACGCTTTTAACATACTGTAACGGATCCTAAGTGTAACAGCGTATAGTCGGGATGGGGTCACGGACGAATGAACGTAGGTGGGAGTGGGAGGGGGGATGGGAAGGGGTTGTTGCTCGTGCTTCAAGTGTATCACTTCAAGTGTGGTGCTAATTTTTCACGTTGTATTGTCATACTGCCCGAATATTTGTAAGGATTGCTCTGTAATGGTTAGGCTGATCCGTTTATATTTGAAGGCATTTGGATTTTAGAGCTTATATCGAACAAGCAGTAAGATATGGCTCGTGGACCGAAGCGACATTTAAAGCGCCTTGCAGCGCCGAAACATTGGATGTTGGACAAACTTGGAGGTTTTTTTTGAACATTTTTTTATTTATCTCTAATGTGAGTAGTTATTTTTCCAATAGGAAACTTTTCTGAAGTTTATTTTTATCTTAAGCTATTATACAAAAGGAACTATTAAATATGTTAACTTTTGCTCTACGTTAAATAACAGGAATGTAGGACTTGTTATCTCGAGACCCGTTAAATGTGCAATTTTGTCACTAGCCATGTCCATTGTTCACCATTCATCGTATATATACTATGCAGTTCTATTACTGCCGAAAGAATTCATCTTCCGCGTTCATTATCATTCGACTGAGCAAGTAGCGCTAATAATGATGAGCAGCAAGTTGTTATTAGTGCATGAAGAGTTGAGTGCAAAGTCTTATAAAGTTTCGAGGGGTGTTGCTTTTATGATGATTCTTCTGTAATCTTGTCTAAAGTGTCGATAGTCAATTGTCAGTGCCGCTACTTGAAGGATGAGTCGGACAGGTTCAGTTCTCTTGTGGGGGAGAAAGAAAATTGAGATGCAGCAGTTAATGATGAAGTCAATGGAATTACCGTTTGATACAAACATGATATGTATTTCGCGGCACCTTCTGAAACTGCTGCCCAGAAGATTGCGTTAAATTTTATTTTCGAATCATTCCTCTTATAGCGTCAGATGCTTGAAATGAATTCAAAGGGAAACAGACAAGGATGCGCTACTGTTCTGAGGAAAAAAACGCAATAGAAACTGATCATAGAATTCTAGGAAGTTAATATTTTTATTGAAATAAATTCTTGCAGGTGTTTTTGCCCCCAGACCACGGTGCGGACCACATAAATTGCGTGAATCGCTTCCGCTGATATTGTTTTTGCGTAATCGGTTGAAGTATGCACTGACATATAATGAGGCGCGCATGATTTGCAAGCAACGTCTGATAAAAGTTGATGGCAAAGTGCGAACGGATATGCGCTTTCCTGCAGGATTCATGGGTATACATTTATCCTAATATTTGATTTTCATTACATAACTATTACTGTATTTTGAGGTTGCAGTAAATGTTACATTATTTGATATGGGATATATTCATGTGAACAGTAATTATTTAGCTATTTCAGGATTTGATTGAAAGCGACTGTAATCATTTTTTTTTTGAATATTTTTAGATGTAATCAGAATCGACAGGACAAACGAAACTTTTCGACTGTTGTATGATGCTAAAGGACGCTATGCTACCCACCGTATCACAGAGCAAGAGGGAAATTTCAAACTATGCAAAATAGTGAAAAAATGTGTCGGACCAAAAGGCGTGCCTTTTATTGTCACCCATGATGCTCGAACTATTCGTTATCCTGACCCTCATGTTAAAGTTCGCTCTTTTGTTTAATTATTTTAAAAGATGCCCGTGTCATTAGCAATATGCCCGTAATAACCATATTTTGCAAATGCCAAATTTCTACTTGTTGAGTGGAGAAGCATTCACGCAAATTGAACTTCAGGAATCAGTGAATTTGTTAATTGTTTGCAGCTTGAAACTTAGTTCTGCCTGACTTCCCAATGTATTATTATCTCAGGAAATTTAAACACTAATTTTTTTCATCTCTTATTATTACCTGTTGTTACCGTTCACTACTTTTCTAAATTTTCAGGTAAATGACACAATAGTGATAGATATTGCAACTGGTAAAATGACTGATTACGTCAAATTTGATCAGGGTAATTTGTGTATGGTAACAGGAGGACGTAACATGGGTCGTGTGGGTATTGTTGGACATCGTGAAAAGCACCCGGGCTCATTTGACATTGTGCACATTAAAGATGCTGCCGGACATTCGTTCGCTACTCGGTAAGTACATGAGGGAATCACAATCGAATTATTACGTATTTTGAATGAAACAGTTAAGAAAATTTTGAGGTTTTGAAAAAAATGCAATTTCTAAAATTCGGTGAGATCAAGGTAATTCGGGAGGTCAAAGTTGTATTTGTTTGCGAGGCACAATATATTTCTCTGTAATGATGATTAAAGAAGGCCGGGGCCTGGTTGGCATAACCACCGGTCCAGGTTAGTTTTTTTGCTTCATACGGCTGTGAGTAATATTCCTTATTGGAGAATGCGCTTTCGTTGATTAAAAATTTTACGATTTTACAACTTTGGCTCCATATTTTGTTAATATTTTGTCGATTTTTTCTAGAAAATATATTTTTTAATTCAACTGCATATTTTTCCTATCGCAGTAATATTTGCAAATAATCATCCCTTTACTTATTCAATCATCTTTTAGGTTAAATAACGTATTTATTATTGGAAAAGGAACGAAATCTATGGTAAGTTTACCGGGACCGACGAAGGGTGTCCGTTTGACTATTGCCGAAGAACGAGATCGTCGACTTGCCCAGAAAAGAGCTGCTTAAAGGACTTTGTTGTTGAAATTTATGTGATTTAATTATGCTGTTTAATTTATGATTAAAATATATTGTTTGAAATTTGTACTATGCAGTTTCTTAGCTTTGTTCTACATTGAATTTCGAAAAATTCTAAATTGAATGAACAGTAATTTCTCGTCTTTAATGTTTACAGAAAGAAGTGGAAAATGACAACAGAATTACTAATAGCCATGCGAGTTGATTTGAATTATAAGTTGTACGCAACAAACACTATCTTGGGTTATCTGTACATTGCTTTGAAGATGGCAAGATTTGCGATGTGTTTCACATGACACTGATTAAGGCAGTGCTTCATATGCTTCCTCAGAACATAAATTTTGTGTTTCATAAATTTATATGAAGCTATCAGTTGTAAAGAGGCGCGTTAACAGAGTGAAGGGAAAGTTCCACCATAGGCATTCATTTACAGCTTAATGGTGTAATGCGAATACCTACGTCTGCAACTGATATATGGAAATCACTTCATGGAATTGTATGTGTACACAAGCCTCGTGATATGTCGCTCATTTCATTAAAACGATATCTCATTAGTAGAATTTGTGAAAGTGCTAATAGACGTTGCTTACCAATAGAAATACCAGAAATTGAGATGCCTATCGTTGAACCTCATCCGATATCACAAGCGCCTGTTGTTATTGGTGTACGAAAACAACCAAATTACGAGTAAGTGAAACATATATTTCCAGTTTCCAGTGCTACTATCATAATTAATGATATAATTATCACAAATTTTTATGTACGATGGATTTTCTTTGAAATTGTGTCAATTATTTATTTAAGTTTCATAGTTTTATTTTATTTGATCGTTCTTTGTGCAATATATAGCTTTGCTTTTTGGTAAAGAAACGAGGAAAATGATTAGACTTGTCAAGGCCATTCGTTTCAGATTAGTATAGTTTGAAGTATTAAGTCTGTCAATTTAATTACACCACATTGTAGTGCATTGGAAATTTTTCTTTATATCTTTAACAGTGGTAGCAGTAATGAAATATTAGGAATTGAATCTGTAGTAGAGCAGTTTGCACTAATACATCATAGTTATATTAACTTTATAGTGCTAAATCACATTTATTTCATTTCTATAACACTATTAGTTTGATTAAGGATGAGATATTTTTTCCATACAAATCTTTTACTTGATATTATCAACGTTTAAACCCTAAAAGACATATTGCATTTTGACAGTATTTCAGTTTTCATCCTCTTGTTGTTGGACGACCGTTCCGGAAAGAAGATATTCGAGTTGAAGAGCTTGATTATCAGCAAGCTGCAACTTCCGGTTTATGCTGTAAGATTTTATTCTTTCTATGTCGAATAAATCAATGCAAATTTCTTTTCTTAAAATTTTAATTAGCTATTTTTACGGGTACATATAGTTTGAATTTTCCATGATAAGCATGTTAAAGATTACGGGTATGGGATGAATTAAATTTTTGATTATTATTTAACTTCATATTATAAGAAGAATCGTCATGTCTTAATTCTTTTTATATATTCTACAGTATTGGGCATTAATGATGGCTGTGATATGTTGGAAACCTTACGTGATCGTGTTTGGGTGAATGAATATGTTTTGAAAGGTCAGCTGGGTCGGGGAACAGTTCAAAATAAGATTCGTGGAAAAGTAAATCGAGAGTGTGACTATGGTGAGATCTTTTGGTCATTTTTTGAAGTACTTTTTTTCAGAATGCGAAAAATATTTCTAAAAACTTCAAGCATGTTAAGGAAATGTTATTATATTTATAGACCAATTCCTAGTACACAAAATTCTATAGATTAACTAATTAATGAAAGAACATGTTGAGCTTCGGGATACTTTTTTTCAAAGTAATCTATGAAGAAGCTAAGCAGAACCAACGTAAAACATATCAGTAAGCGTATTGTACTGAATAGTCAAGCACTTTTAATAGTCCAGAGAAATCACTGTTTTCACAGGAAAAAAATATCTCGAATTTTAACCCTATTTTAGAGCACATTACCTATCGGCATATGTCAAGATTTTTGATACGATTACAAGCTCATTACAAGAAGCTAGCATTTAAATTAGCGAATGTGGATTTGGAAAGCCAAGAAGCGTTTGAATTAGCTCGAAAGGTAATAATTTTTTGTAATTTTATCAAAGTGCTGAGTCCAATTTGATTTCTGTTATGATATATTTCCTTCTTTTTCTCTCATTTTTCAGGGTTTGCCTAGGCCTAAAGTACTTGGGGCTCCTGTAATATATTTTATTAAACTGGTAAATTTTCATTTGCCACATTTCACGATCAATTTACATTGTGTTTGCAAAGACGACGATTTTTTACAAGACTTCATTAATGAAGTTGCATTGTCTCTAGGTAAGCTCGTTGTTAACTTTCAAATTTCTGGATGAATTCCGCTAATTTGATTCAGTTAATTCACTAACGTTCTAAGAGTCAGAAGACTTTATTTTTTAATTAAATCAGTATTTTTAATTTTTCAGATTAAGTGATTTGAGATCATTGAAAGTAGAGTGCTTGTTAGTAATGATCTAACTGCTTATTGTATGTAATTTAGCATCGGCAATTTTTTTGTCCATGAATTAGCGATTTTTACTTTGAAAGCATTAGCAATGCTTAAACATTTCTGAATTACCATGAGAATGTATAATGCTTTCGCTTTAAATAGTCAAAATTTACAACAGAAAATATGATACTCTAACAAAGATATCAATTAAGGTTCTGTGGCATCGTGTCGCCAGTTACTACGAACACGGTTAGGACCATTTGATTGCAAGCATTCATTGTTGGATAAGCATTTCACGCTGAGAAATATTTTAAGAAACATGCAACTTTGCCAAAAAATCATTGAATACGATGAGAAAACATTGGATAAAGAGATTGTGAAGACCACGGGTCAGTTAGCTATAGAAGATGTATTCGACGATGAATTTGTTGAAATGCTTGATGAAGAGAAAGAAAATGAATCTATCGAGGACTGTTTACGGGTTCCCTGGGGCAGAACTTACGATTAAAATATTTATAAAATGGTGAAATGTTATATTTAGTCATTATTATCTACGAAAGAAAATAACATTGTTTAATTTGATATTTTACGAAGTTCATTTTATGTTGATTTACTTACTTTATCCATGTAGCTAGCATGTTTCGATGATTTTTTATGTTGCAACGTATCATAGGCTTTCTTGTTGTACTAATAGTCTTCTTCTATAAAACTGCTAATGTTGGAATACATAAACGATATGTCAGGGAATTAAGGAAACTTGTATTCATAAGGTTATATTGTACTCTGTCATAAGATATGGAATCACAGAGTTACTTTAATCTTTCTATGTCTTACCCATTTACTAACAAAAAGCGCATAATTTGTTATTTGAGTTGAAAGTAGGTAAGCAATGATCTTGTAAGTGTATAGAATTGTTTGCTCGGTCAAAATCTAGGCCTACTGAATAAAGGATGTTGATCTCGCTTTTTGTTCCAGCAATCGTTATAACGAATAATTACGATTCTTGAGGGGATGAGTTCCCACGACGACATCCAAGAAGGCCTTATCCACTTATAAGAAGTCTACAAGTCAATTACTATGTATTAATTCTTCCTCACACAGTTTTAGCAACAATGCACTAAAAATACAAAAAATTAATTTGAAACTCCCGTCTTGCATTACTCACTTATCGAGTAATACAAGACGGGAGTTTACTTGTAGCGTTCTGATCTGTAGTAGTTTTATAGACGCTATCACTTACAACGTTTTAAAAGTTGAGCCTAAACTGCAAAATCATCCACGATGTTTAGAAGATTCTGGCGGTATCAATGATCATCATCTGAGAACGATCAAAAAAATCTTGATAAAAGAAAACTTTTTTACAGTTTGAAACATGATGATTATTTACAAGAATGATTAATGTGCATCAATGCAGAAATACCGGAACTCCAAGACGTTTTTGAAAAAATTAGAATGATATTGATGTGACAGCTTTTTTTAAAAAAGAAATAGTTCTAAAAATTATTATATACTTTTCTGAATTTTAAAATATCATTTACGAACACATGAAGATGGAAGCAAACATTGATGTTAATTTCAGTGCGTTTCTTTAATTAACGAATTCGTATTCTTCAATTGTTTACTTCTTGCACTTCTGTTGTACGACTGGCATGGGATTGAGAATTTTTTGTTTTTTCTTATTTATATCTGTGAACAATTTTTATTTTAAAATAAGTCCTATCTGCCCTAACAATTTTTATTTTAAAATAAGTCCTATCTGCCCTAAATTTCAAGAAAGAAAGCGAGAGAGAGAGGGAGAAAAGAAGAGACCGCTCAACTTTAAATAAAAATAGTTCTATTCTAATTCAGAATTCGTGTTGAATTAATGCCGTGAAATGTCATATTGTATATGAGATTAACATGGTTATTTACATTTCCTTTCCCCATTCTTTTAGCACAGGAAATCGAATATCCTTATGGAAAGTATTTATAGTTAAGAGGTCAACAAAAATTTAAAACGGAAAAGGGAAAAGAAAGGGAGGAATAAAAAGATGGAGAAACAATCTGCTACTTTCGTGTTTTAATTGTTCAACACCACTTGGTTCCTTCTCTCCTATTCTATTCATTATTTCAGCACTGTGGAAAAGTTAATATATTGAATTTAAATTTGAATAGCAAAAAACAAATTGCAACACATAAGCTGAATTACAATTATGTCCAATTATATAAATGAATGCAAATAATTATTACAATTAATTGCGATTAGTATTATTTCCTAAATCTTTATACAATTGGGATCAAAAAAAAAGGAAAGAAATCAAAGTTGACAATTTGAATGCTATGGAAATATCTGCTTCAAAAGCCCTCCCAGTATAATGTTTCAGAAGAAAACACTAAACCGAATTATTTTATGTTCTCAGAAATGAAAGAAAATAAATTTGGTTAAAGTTTATCGAATTAAAATTGAAGTAATTATTGGGTAAAGGGAACAGGGAGAGACTTTTGCTTCACGGGAATCATCTTGTTGAGCAACAGTCGATCCACTTATTAAAATTAGAATACACTTCATCGGCTTACAATTATTATCATCACTAACATCACTTCAAATCATTATTATAAACATCATTTTCAATCGCTTTCTGACACTTAAATCCTGAAACAGGAAGATATTACACAGCTTAATCAAAGAAATTGAAATCCTCTGATTTCAGGAATTCCCGGTGCCTGCGATTTCTTCATGTTCTGGACAATGACCAAAATATTAATACATTTTATTTCTTAATTAAATTCTGAGCAATCAAAAGACTTGTAAACTAATGCTAACAAAATTTAAAAAAAAAAAGCGATTGAAACGATGCAAACACCAAGGGAATGAAGATAAATCTAAATTATAATATAAACACTGAATGTAAGTAAATGAAAAACAACGATAACGAAAGTCGCAATGATAAGCATAATTTGATCCCTTAAAAATCCAAAAAAGAACACAATAAAAAATGGGAATGGAATAAATGCAATTATCAATATATCGCGGGACATTAGTGAGAGAGAGAAAGAGAGAGTTGGTACTGATAAAAACAGCAAAACTAATCAACAAAACAAAAAATCCAAGCATGTTAGAACTAGACTTTCAAATATTCAGGAATATGCATAAAACAAGCTTAATCTGAAATATCAATCGGAAAACCAATTGGCTTATTTAATTAAAACACGGCGTTTTTTCTCGATAATTCGCTTAATCCGATTGCCTTGAATAATAAAAGCGAAAAATACGCAGTCTAATTCAAATAAATACTTTAAAAAATAAAATAAACTCAAAGATAAAAGGCATCACTAAATATCACATTAAAAGAAAAAATATGGATCAGAATATGAGGCTTGATTTAGAGTAAAATAAATTAGTATATTCGCACTTGGTAAATCCGATAAGTTTAAATAAGTTAAAAAACAAGCAGTACAATTCAAGACTTAGTTTCACTTTGTAGTTCATTAAATTATAATAGCATACAATTCAAATTAAAAAAAAAATTTAAGAACATTAATAAGAAAAACTTAAGATGTATGTCACTTTTCAATTAACACATTTTAATGATCTATACAATACATCGCAATTAAGCAACTAACGGTTTTCATCTGAACATTTATGGCTCTAATTTAAAGTGAAAATAAAGCTAAGTCAAAGAACTAGAGAAATGGTAGGAAAATAAATATAAACGGATTCAAAGTAAAGAAAACAACGAAAAGCACTGAAGTAATAAAAATTACCCTTAAAAAATTATATGCAAGACTGAAATAAAAACAGTCATAATTGTATTCAAGTCTCTTCCACAAAAAAGTATAATCAAAAAGCATATTCTCTTCACTGACGAGTTAAAAAAAAGCAATTAGTAGTTGGATTAAATACAGCTGGTATTCATCACACTAACATTCCTAGTTCTAAAAACCAAAAAATAGCTCAAATATTACAATCACAATGAAATTGATCATAACTTAAAATGTATAAACCCACACATTTTGATAAAAGAATATCCAAAAATTTGGTGAAAACAATCAAGTTAAAAAATGTTTTCGAAATAATCTAAACTATGCAGATATTTTTAATGATAAAGTGATGTATCAGCAAATATAAATTGAAAGTTCACAATAAAAATATGCTCATAATAAAAATATAACTTATGCGAAAGCGGTAAATGGCAGATGCATAAACTTCGCAGATGTATAAATCAAAGGCAACATTAACTATAAGACATCCAAGAATATTTGTTTAAAATGCTGACATGTTTAAAGGGTCCAGTAACAAAATAAATAGAAGGCAGATGTTTCACAGTTTCTATTGATTATAAGACATTACTGACAAAATAGCTATAACTGATTTCTATCAATCAGGCAGAAATACTGAGTGAACTATATAATGCCAGCTCTTTGTAACTCCAGAAATATAGCAAACGGAAGATACAAAGTGTACATTATATTTTTGAAGAACACGGATTGAAGAAATGGAATTTAGTAATTCACCAGGAATGCAACTATTGTGCAAACAATTCAAATATAACAAATAAACATCTTAAATTGCCTTTTATATTTCTAATTGATATTAAAAATAATAAAGAGTTGACAGATCTCATTTTGAAAAAATACAGAAGTAAAAGACTGGAAAGCCAATAAAATTGGGTTACCGTTTGATTAAAGTTTTTTAATTCAAAAAGACGAATCTACTGCAAATTTCTAAACAAAACTGCTCAAAAAAAAAATCAAAAAAGTTGTTTAAAAAAGATTAAAATCATATAGTCAAGATTTCCTTTATTTTACTAGCTGGTAAATAACAATTATTCTATTTTCTTGTTCTTTTTTATATTGTTCTTTACGACTGCATCGATATCTTCAGGTGATGAATCAGAAGATATTTCATTATCTGATTCTTCCCTAATGTCATCAATATTGCCTTTCACTGACTTAAGTGCTATTTTAATGATTATAAATGTCCAATAAATGTGTAAAATCAATAAAGAGAGCAGCATTACTGCGAATAATCGTGGGACTATTGGAGGCTGTCGTATATTTTCCCATCGGTAATCTGCCTGAAAAGTTTAACCATTTTTGCCGAATACATGCTGATATTATTTGATTTCTTACTGTTTTGATAACATTTTATTAACTCAGGTAGAGCGGTGACAGCCCAAATTACGATTCCCCATTTGTCACTAAAAAAATTTGTGCACTCAAAGTTCCTAAACAAAAATCAAATTTGTATAGAAATATACCAAATTATCAGCAAAGAGATCGCTTTAAACGCAGAACAAGAGTAAAAAATATCGAAATAATCTACTTACCAAATCAACGATACATAAGAGAAGAGTGACTATTCTTACTTGTATTAAAATAGGAGCATCGAATAATATCGATCGAATAATAAAAAATGGAAAGTAAATGAGTCGCGTGACAATCCACACTACCATGAATGTTAAAAAAACGCATGTTAAAACTGTTTTCCAACCAGCATATCGGCATAGCTTGCCCAGTTCGCTGAAAAAATGAGCTATTGATATAAAATATCAAAAAATATTTTCGTAAAAAATATTTTAAAAAATTTTTTTAGTTATGGGTAAAGAAACACAAGAAGAAATCAACAAAAATTAAGTATAATCAACAAAATACAATTATATAGTATTCCATATCACTAGTTAGTATTATTATCAATAAAATGGCAATAAACCTCACTAGAAAAATAAGAACTTACAGAAAAACATCAGCTATGTCGTGGCTAAAAAGAATCAGTGTCCCGATTCGAACCATATTCATCACAAAACTTAGCAGGAGAAGTAAAACGGTGATTACATGATGGAATGTCATTTGAATAAAATCAGCCCGCCGAATGTCAAATAACAATGAGCTGAAAATAGATCATTTTTGTAAAAACAACTGTAAAGAGTAGATTTTCAATTGAGGAATCACTATTGAAAGTTGGCTGCTATCATGTCATTAACAATAAATACTTACCTGACAATAAGTGAGCAATAAAATGCTGTTTCGATCACATAATACCACCAAACGCTATTAGTCAGCGGATGACGAGGCCAATGCCGCCAACATTCCGCAACATCATACAGCTGAGGTTGATCAGACAAAACATAAAGACCTGAAGCAAATCTAAATTATATATAATGAATAATATGCAAATTAAAGTATAGCATCAGTATTCAAGAAGAGAAAATGAAGTTGGTAAAATGAGTAATTAACAAATACTAATACATTTTCTTCGAGTTAGATATGACAATATTAACGCAAGAAAAAAACATGCCGTACAACCAAATGCATGAGTAAAACAGAAATCGCCACGCAGATTCTGATACCCGTTTGAATTTTCCTTTACCAGCTTGACAAAAATTCAGATGCGCTTTGATACGTAATCCTAGTGGTTCTTTGACTACACCAAATAAATAACCAATTGGCAAAAATATGAAGCATTCAACAGCAAATCTAAGTAACAATAATAACACACTATATCTGAAAATTTTATTTGGTTGCTGAATTGTTAAAATAAGATGTGGATAGCTACAATAATAATAGTTTAAATGCCCATTACAGTCATAAAATCTTTAAATTGAATACTAAAAACTTATTGATAAAACTTGTCGTTATTTGAATAAACAGGTATCCAATTAAGGAATTATTTTAACCTCTTTAAATTAAAAAAGGATGGAAAAGTCTCAATAGCAATCTTTAAATTGCAAGCACATCACTTTTACGAACCTTTTGTTTCAAACTGGATGCTAAGGATCAAAGATGTGACCTTACCTTACAAAGTTTTATAGCGAAAAGTAAAGAAAATCTGACAGTCAACAGTTAGTTTAAATTGGATATGCATACGAACAAAGGATTCTTTTTTTGAATATTGTATATTTGTGTTGTCGACAAAATCCAAAAACATACTTCATTGCATAAGTTAATTCCCAAATATCTGGATAATGAACAGTATGATTGGATTTAAGATCATTCCAGGAAAAACCACGTGGAAGCCAATACTCTTCATCCCAAAACATTATTCTGTTTTCCTAAACTGCACTTGCTATGTGCTAATATTACCTGCAAAATATTATAAAGTTAGTAGAGAATTGTAAAGAAGAAAAAAACAAACATAAGATTGTTAACATTTTCTATCCCCACATAATAACCAATTTTAAACATGCACGATTGCTGTAAAATTTTAACTTGAAATCGTAAGCATATAACTGGAAAAAATCACTTATGCGATATTGTGAGCTGATCTATTCAACATAGATTAGTTGCCATTTATCGGTAGTTGACAATTCAGATTAAATGAGCAAACAAGTAAAGTGGGTCAAACTGACGAACAAAGAGAATGGAAATCCACCACAAAGTTTCGATAAACCAATTTGAAGTGTATTCTATCCGTGGAGGGACATTTAACAAGAAAACAAGTCTTTAGAAAAAATATACGAAAAACACTTCATATTCCTGACTAAAATATAATTTAATCACTTCGACAGGCATGATGCATCAATACTGAACCGTAACTAAAAATTATTAGAAAACAAAACCGTCGATAGCATACCAAACTGATGATGAGAACAAACGACATAAATATAATTCAAAAC